CAAGAAATCAAGTTAATTAAAATTTCTTCTTTTTATTTTATTTAAAACATAATTACATTATTATATTGCAGTGCACGTTTATAAACTACATTTGTTATTTTATAGTTGGTGAAAAAATATACAAATTTTTTGGGACTTAGAACAAGCTTCGTATAATTTGACATGATAAAAGCAGAACTCATTTCAATTGAATTTCACAATTTCTTAAAGTTTGTCCTTGGGCCTTATTTATAGTGATACTGAAAGCTACTCTTATTGGATACTGTACGTCGTTTGAACTAAAATGATAATTCGACGGATTTAAGCGCAATTGTTAGAGTAGATACCGTTTTTCCTTTATCTTTTCTTGGCAACTTTTACTTCAATGATATTGTTCTATAATTGTGTTTTCTTTCTAAAGTTAGTATTATTGAAAACAAAAATTCTAAGAAATATGAATGTGTAGCATTATTGTACCCCTAAAAATACCCCTACAGCTAAAAATCGAAATGTTTGATTTTATTTCATATACAGGACCCTTTAAATTTCTTTTTGATGAATTGTTTTTTAAATTTTTAACTTACAAATCTGGTTTCCGTTTCTTCCATATTTTTTTCCCAATTGACGTGTAGATTTAAAGCCAATGTAGAGTAAGACTTTTTTGTTTTAAAAACGACCACCGACGTTTCACCTTAATACCAACTAAAAATAACTACTTTGAAAAAGCCTTCTACCCTCTGTATTGGCTTCAAATTTATACACTTTAATTTAATTTACAAAACCTATAATATGAAATGATGCGTTAAGTGTGAAGGTTTAGTGTCACATCACGGTTAATTATTTCATTAATAATGTTAAACAAATAGCTAGTAAAGGCAGATAAAAAGTTAATATGTTAGATTATTTTTAACTCTTTGTTAGCAGATTTTAACAAAGGTGGGTGTTCTCATTAATCATTTTTTATATTTTCTTTATAAGTAATTTCGAAATCAATGTGTATCATCAAAATTAAATAAATTATGAAGCAAGATTTAAGTGGGCTACCATTCTCAATGTACTTAGGTGTCATATTAACATTTCACTTTTTTTAGTAGAAAAATACTTTTCGGTTGGGTCTTTTGATGGAGTTTTTTAATTTTTCTCTTTCGAACGGGAAGGGATTGTTAAATGCTAAATGCGGAAAGCATGGGAGAGTCATTTTTGGAGGAAAAATTGGAAATTAAAAAAAAGTTTTGCAAGCTGTATCGTGTGACATATCAGACGGATGGGCTTGCTGTAAAGGGCTCAAATATATTTAGTTTGTAATCTTAAAAGTAATACTTTTAATGTTATTTAAGAAAAATAAAATAGTTCTTTACTTATAGATTACAGGAAAATTAATAAGAAATCTATGGTCCGAACATAACATGGTAAATCTTTCAACAAAACAATATTGTGTATACAAATTTACATTTGCAGTTTGAATGCATGGGACATGTTTTTTTTTCAACAAGAATGTTAAGATGGTTTTCGGGTTAGGGTTCCGTACGTTCGAATGAAAAAACGGAACCCTCATCACTTATATGTTTGTCTGTCTGTATTTTTATTTAATACTAGTTTTGAAAGGTCTTGTCGTGTTTTTCATTGTTTTCGTACCTATTCTGTTTCAAATAAACCTCATCTTGGTAGATTCTA